AGAAAGTGGACTGAAACCTTACTCCCTCCTCATCACTAAATGCAATTATCTGTGACATCCAACAGTATGAAAAAACATAATAAGAGGAATTATAATTGATACTAAACCACCACTCAAGAAATTTGACAACAACAACCTGAGGCCCCAGATTCTAGCTTGGCAAATGCATGATATGCTGTGTGAAAAATGCTTAAAGAGAATATTAATCTACCATCCTCCCCAAAAATATTTAAATAAAAATATGCTTTAAAAATTTGGACTTACATTAAGACTATGAAATATTCATACTTTTGTTTTATGTCCCAGGTATTCAATTTCACTGTATGTCATCCAATACGGAAATTTTAGTTGTGCGACACAAGATGGAATGTTTTTGCACTTTGCATCAGAACCAAGCATTCTACTCTTACACGTAGATAAAATTGCCAATTGCGTCATCCCTGAAGTCTAACTGACCAACAGGTGATGTAGTTACATTGTTCTTGGTTTCATGAATCCAGAAGATTTCCAGTGAAAATTCTTTTCACCCCACAATTCTAGATGCAATTTCATTCGATATTTTCTTACTGATCTAGGGGGAAGAAAGTTAAATTTTCCAATGAATTTCAATCAGAATGAACAGGCAAAAAATGGTTCTTTATTTTTCTAGTAAATACTATATTTTCCCGTTTATTGGAATCAAAAACAGAAATTCTGACCCAGATAAAGAATAGACTATTCAATTAGCATTTCAATAAAAAATAATGTAGTATTTTGTAGAAAGCTGGTGTTTCACTAACCTCAACTGGCCGTCTTAGTTCTCCCAACTTCTCATTGCTTTTCAAAGCTTTTACTGCAGATACTGCTGATATTATACCTAATGATCCGTCAAACATTCCAGCATCAACAACAGTATCCTATTAACAGAACCCATTAACTATCAGCATTTACTTATTTCAATCACAACCTCGTCAGGGTAGTGCACATAACAACAAAACTTTAAAAATGAAAAGAAATTGGAAAGAGAGACATCACCAAGTGAGAGCCAATTAATAAAGTGCGGGCACTTGCATTCTTTCCCTCAAACCGACCATGCACATTGCCCATGCAGTCCACCCACCTGGAAATCAACATAAGGATTAGCAGAGACTTCCAATGAATGCTAGTTAACTATTGAATAAGGTAAGAAAGCTAACGTTCGCAAACCAGCATCCTCCATCCATCCACGAATAAGATTTCCCGCCCTTATGGATGCTGGACTCATGAATGTTCTTTCCAGATAACCACCTGCATCACTTACCTGTCAAGTCAGACAATTGAATTCTAGATGTGTCAGTTAAAGTATGAAATAAAAGGACATCACTGTTCAAATTATAGATCTAAAAATAATAACTAAAGGGACTCATAAATATTTGTAGGCAGCTGTTCAAAGATTGGCATATATTTATTTTTTTTGGGCTAGCTTCAAAGCTTGGTAATTGGCAGGCAAGGAATGATCCAACAAAGACATTTGCATGAAAGGTGTTGGTATCAGTGATGTGATTAGGCACTGAAGAGGCCAAGATGATCTTAGTTTTCTCATACTGCAAAGAACATTTGCAAACAACGTTTTAAGCATTTTATATTAAAATAACATCTTAAATATTCATAGTCAGGCTTTGTATCTTTCAGTCAACCAAAACCAAAATTTTAAATATCCTGCTTAAATTAACAAGTCAAACTACAGATAGGCAGCTACGTCACTTCAGATTAGAAGGGTGCAATAAGCCCCAGGTATTAATCTTGCAAGAAATCATTTGTAATCTGATTATAACAACATTAAGAACAGTTAGTTAACGGAGTTGTCAAATCAAACAATACCTTCCCAAGCTCATAAAGCCTTGCTACTGCCTCATCCCTCAGGAGTTCTTTGTACAAATCATCCCTTCTCCCTTCCGCATCTCCAATTCCTGTAGTCAGAGTAGGTTTTCTTATATCAAAAAAGAAAGTCACGGTAGGTTTTCCATTTAACAGTCACCATCATAACCAGAAATCGGTTTACATGTAGCAAACTGTCACCACCATCATCATCATAATTTACGCCAATGTTAAAGTCACCAATAAACCAAGCTAATGAATAAAGAAATCGATTTAATAATAATCTTAATATTATTACGAAAGCAAAAATTGTTGTTAGCCTCAATATAAAAATTAAACACGGTTTCATTTTCCAGTTAAAATATAGATGCAGAGACTTTTTGTTTTTTCCTCTCCTAAACAGATTTGTACAAGAAGTGTCCATTTAAGCGTAGACAGCATAAAATCTCATATAGACGCCTAGGCATACAAGTTATATCCATGTTTATTAACATCCATAAACGAGGTGTCGATAACGAAACAAAATTCACTGGAAAATCAAGCAACAGAGAGGCCATTGATAAATGAATCAAACAGAGCAAGGTAAAAAAATTACCGGAGGAAACATAAGAAGAAGAAGAAGAAGGAAGGGGTGATATTGATAACAGAGAAAGTAGCAAATACCAAAACAAAACGAGAGATGAGTAGTGATAATGAAAACAGTGATGGTGGTGGTGGTAATAATTAACAGATGAGTGTGATCTTGTTAATGTGCAATGAGAAATCGCCATGGCTGCGTCTTAAAGCTTGCGAAATAGAAAACCTTGTTCTGTGTCAAGCAAGCTCCAAGAGCAGCCAGGGAAAAGGCAAAACCGATTATCGAGATAATGGGACTCTGTGGTGTTCGTCTGTTTTAAAAGGCCAGGCCAACTTAGTGGTGCGCGTAGGGGGGAACTGGGGGAGGGGAGTGGGCCCTGACAACTGTGGGGACCATTTGAATGACGTGGCGAAATCATGGTGGTGGTCTAGGTTGGAGGCTGGCCGCTGTGATGCAGTCATGCAACTCGTCGAGGCGTAGGCTATTTGGCCACCTCCAGCTGCACAGCAGGTTGGCCTTTTAGGATGGAACCAGGCTCGTGGCCTCGTGACTAAACGGACGCATTGTGGGGCCCGCGAGAATCATGATAAGATACCTTCAATTGGGTCCCACTTCCAATCAACAAGGGCCATGCACGTGATCTGCAGATTCTTCTCTCTCTTATATATTTTTCCGATATTCAAATGATTTATTCTTATTTTTATAGATCTCTAACACTTAGATATAAAATACTTATTCAACACAAAAAGGTGAATCGTTAAATTTCATTTTTATTTGGTAATTACACATTTAAATATGATATCAACTCTCTGACAATTGTTGCATCATAAATTTTATTGATAAAAAAAGCTATTTTACAATAGTGTTTATACATACCACAAAATAATTAATTTATTATATATCTATTATATAAATGTAAAACCTAGGTGATAAAATGGTGAATTCAAATGAGTATTTGGTTATTAATGTTTACTTATAAATAGTCATCAATCTTTTTTATTGGAAGGCTATCTTTGATTTAATGGTCGAAATGAAATTTTAAGTTCATCTTCTCTCTACCTTTAATTTATAATCATACTTTATTATTCATTCTTGCTTACATTTTGTATGTAGTATTAAAATTCTTTCTTATAAACAATAGAGTATACAAGTTGGCTCTACAATTTATATTTTTATCCTTATTTGACGCAAGTTCATTGATTTAAATAACTAAAAAATTTTGTTTAGTTATTTATACGATTTGTAAAATTATTTGTTCCGTTATAATAATTAAACGAATAATTTACATTTTGACAATATTGGTTCTTTCATTGTATTGTGAGAGAATGAAGAGTCATCAATATTTTTGAAGCATTATGGATCATCTTTGTGGAGTTTGATATCAAACAAAGTTATGCGAGTCTTCATACCATTTGCATTTGCCTTAGCGATTATTGTTATGGTCGGTTGATTTGCTTCCCACCACATTGTCCACTTTCTTAGCGCAACCATTTCTTCATGTGATTGTCCTTTAAGCATGATGATCAAATTTTTTCTTCTTCTTATCAAGTTAGGTGACGTCACTTGAAATTTGAACACTACTTAATAAATGGTTATAGATGCTTTCACATATATGCAATTAGTGTTCTTAGAGCTTAATGTTTAGATTTTATCATTTATTACACAATTAAAATTTTTCTTACCTTTGTTAGGGTATTGCATTATGAAAAATTAAACTATTTACCTTGACACTTTAACAAATTTTATCAAATATTATTCGTACATTTCGCTTAATCATTACAATCACTTATTTTTCACAAACGACACTAAATTACAAAGTCAATTATATTTTGGAGGCTAATTAAGGTGACTAGATATAATTAATTGTTGAGGTGGAAGATTACTCTCATGAGTTTTGGTCCTTGTTTAATCCAAGTTTCATTGAGCAAATACTAATCTTAGAACAGATTGAAAGTTTATATGATTTGATATCTATTAACTTGTGAAAATGAATAAACTATTAATTATTATCTCAATTTGACATTATGACGCTGGATCTAAGTTAAACGAAGATGAAAGACAAATTTAAAGAGCATTTGAATATAATTTTCATCCGTCTTCATGAGTGGAGAAAAATAATTTAAATAAATAATTTTAAACTAAGTAAATTAAGATGTTTAAATTTATTATTTAACTATATTTTAAAAATAATTTTAAATTTTTTAAGTAGTTTTTAGTAATATAAAGTATTAACTCATTTTTAGTGATTTTTATATAATTTTATTATTTTAATAAATTATTAATCATGCATTACACTTAATCTCCGAATAAATATATCTAATTTACCATAATTCAATAATTAATATTAAAAAAAATATTCTGAATAACTAATAAAATTATAGGATTAGAATATTTTTTTATATAAGCACAAATTATTTGGTAGGTATGCATGAAAAATGACAGAAAATAAATTTATATTATCGAAAATTTAAAATTGGAGTGCATAATTAAAAATTGTAGAGATTATAGTGAGTGAAATGTTATGAATAATCATTGGAATTCATTTGTAGTTATAAACATCATTTACCCGTAATCGACACACTTAATTTCATAAATATGTGACAATGAGTTGCATTTTTATATTGACCATAAAATTACAATTATAATTTCAATTGGGAATGTATATAATATATATCGTCGAAGTGGGACCCACAAATTGTATTCGTACAGGTAAATCTAATTTAAATGTGGTTTTATGGTCAGCTTGCATGTACCTTACACTTAAGCAATCTATGATTATTACCCTCCCTATCTCTATCTATAATGGCTGAATTTTTCAAATTGAAGTAACCGCATTTGGTACCATATTTATTTGAGTCATAGTTTAAGATAGTGATTTCAGTTTTATTTTCTTTAAAATAAGATTAAACATATAAAATGATGTATTTATAAAAGAATAATTTTTTAAAACTGAATTCTATATTTTTAATTTACTTTACATTTAATTTAATTAATATGATAAATATTTTATTTAAAATAATAAAATAGAACATATTACAAAAAAAAATTGTAATTTATTATGATTTCATACAATTATTAAAAAAATAAAAACCTACATATTTTATCATTTTACTATAGTAAAATTTTTGAAAAATTATAAAAAATTATTTTATATGTTATGTATTATCCCTACATAATTTTTTTTAGTACATATGTTGAGACTATAAACACTTTTTGTGTTTTCTCAAGTTGAATTATTTATCAAATTATCTTTATCTTTTTCTATTTTTGTTTATATAATGCTACTCCACTTTGATCAGTTATTGACTTTCATGTGAAAGTTTCATATATGGTGAAGGAACGATAGTCTCCCACACTGCTTTAGTCTTTTGCTGAGGAATAATTCCTGGGCACATGTATGATTGTCTTTTAGTTATGCTCATGCTAAATACAAGCCATCAAAGGGTGCATAATTTGCCCTCATTATTCGATATTTCACACATCTCCTTACTATAGTAATGAGTTTTTTTTTGTCTTCAACGTCCCTAGTACTCCATGTAAGCCTTCTCATCAACAGTATTCTTAGTTTGTTGATCTCGATAACCCCTCATCGAAAACATCATACTAATGAACTTTTTTGTATTCCTTCTTAAAGATTAACTTGTCCATGCTTCAAATGCTACCTTTTTTGCTTCTTAAACCATTTTCACTTAGACTCCATTGATGTTTTGCTTTCATTAGGTGGGTCTTAAGTATACTCAAGAATAACCATACTCCTGTCACCATTTTACCTCACGACCTTATTATGAACTTCTATATGATTGCCGTTATTATTTTTTTTTAAGAAGGTGGTTTGTTCAACATCTAATTTGATGACTCTTTTAGCCAGACTTTTATTGTAATACTCGGACCCGAAAAATGATCCGAGATAAATTTTTTATTTTTTAATTATTAATTTAAAATAATTGATTAATTTATTTTATTTTTGTTTAAGTGAAATTTTGAGAAAAAAATTGATTAGCGACGAGATTAAAAATAATTTTGGAAAAAAAGAGTGAAAACTTAGATTATGAGAGTTTTTTTAAAAGAAAATTTGGAAACAGATGGTTAAAGTACAAATAGAGTAAGTTTGATCACGTAGAATCGCCTAGTCAGCAATCTCGACGAATCGGAGCGCATAGTGTGGCAAGGCGCACTAGTTTCAGTGCCATGCAGGAGACAATGCTGGAGATCTATGTGCCTCGCGATCGGACGGTCCATGATAGATCTCACGCGTGTGGACAACCTAGATCCGTTTCCTCCTTAGACGCGATTAGATGGTCGAAATTAATTGCGATGAATGATTCATATTCGTTTCCTCTTTAAGTGCGATCAGACGGACGAGATCGATCGCAATGGATAGTCCAGATTAACGCAGGATGGTTATAAATATTTTGCATTACAAGAAAACCTAAACCATAACTGATAGGCCCCATTGGAAAAGAAGAACCAAACACTGGAAAAGGAGGCCGACCGTCGATCGCCGCCACGCCGGAACCACCACCGATCACCAAAAGAGGTAAAATTTCTCCCTACTTGCTCAGAATTCGATTCTGAGTATCTCTGTGGCCAAATCGAAGCAAGAGAAACAGTTGGTGAGTTAGAAACTACAGGCAAAGTTCGGCGGAGCCACCACGGCTAAAACCTTAAAACCTTTCGATGAGCCCCTTCTCGATTCCCATTTCACGTGATTTTTTTATCATTGTGTTCACCGTCCTTTTCTATGCATGGTAGCCGAAGAAAGAACCTCAATTGCGAAGGAGGACCGGCTGTGCTGCCACACCCGAAGGTCCCCGCATTGGTAGGCTTAGTTTTTTGTGATTTCTTTGTCAATTGAGACCCTTAACGTGTTTTTCTGCAGAGATACAACCAAAATCGGTCAAAATTGGTCAAAACAGACTAGGCTGAGGCGAATCATCGCTGCGAACGACGGAGCCAGCTTCGGAGCAAATCTGCGCCACTGTGCTGGAACCCCAAAATTGGTTGGAATGAGTTTTGGATACCGATTTTGAATTTTTATTGTATTTTTAGGTATGTGATGAGTGTTTTGAATTCAACATAAAAAATTCAGGGAACTCAGTACCCGTTAGGAAGCGTAGTAGACAGTTCGATATCTTGAAACACCAATTCGAATAAGGATCCTTCACCTTATTCTCCGTTATGGTAAATTTAGGATTAATGATGTATAATTTTTTATTTTTGTGAAAATTTAAAAAATCTTAAAAATAATTACATGTTACTAATGGAGTCGGAACTGATTAGTTCACAATTGTCTCGATTCTTGTTTATTTTTTTGTACTATTACTTGTTTGATTTTCATATAGCACATATTTTTAATTTATAATTCAATAGTTTTATCAACTTATATGATTATTTTGTTTATATACTGTCACTATGAATGTAGTTTAATTAATATATGAATGTGACATCAAATATTAGTATGAGTTTGTTAGTTTTTTTTTTATGAGAATCTTTATGTGAAAGACTTATTGGGTATCCAGGAAAAGGGCAAACGGGCCCGATACATATAGAACCCTATCGTGAGCGGTACTTTAGTTGGACAGGGCTGAAAAGTCCCTTACTGAAAATGTTTAGAAGATATGGTTTACCTTCG